ATGGCAGCTGAAAACGGTATATTTCTTTCCTGTTCTCCCGCCCGTTTGTGCATTCTTTCCAAAAATTAGGACTTTTTTAAAACGCCACGGGACACGGGACAAATTGTTAAAGAGTGGGACTGTCCCACCAAAAGAAGGACGTCTGGTCACCCTAGACTAGACCTACGTGTCCAACCAGAAACCAGCCATGCCCAAAACCTGGGTCTGTGCCTGGATGTGCTGTGTGACCTCGAGCACATCACAGTCCCTCTCTGAGCCCCACGTGAATCACCTGTGAAGATCCTCTTCCTCCCACGCAAAGTTGTGAGCGCCTCAGTCCATCACATCCACAGGCATTTTGCACACTACTCACCAGACATAAAGCTGTGTGACCACCATCATCTCTGGATGGTCCTCTGAACAGCAAGTGGGGGGTGGGGGGGTACGTATGAGCAGAGTGTTAGAGGCAGCCAGGCCAGAGTTCAAGTCCCTCTTTGCAGGTCTAGTTAGGACTTTGGACAAGCCCTGGAAACCCTCTGAGCTTCAGTTTCCTTGTCTATGAAATGGGGCCTTTTGCTACAGGGTGCTGAGGCTCCTTCGAGTGAGTGCCCTTAAATCCCTTAGCATTGCACCCCACATGCAATAAGCTCTCTAGAAATGTGTACCCCCATTTCTCCTGCTACCCCCTGTACACCCACAGTGCCCCAGGAAGGGCCCTACCTGTCAGCGAGTAGATGAGGCAGCAGGCTAGCAAGGACAGCACAGACACCAGGGCCCAGCGGGAGAGGCTCTGGTCACGCATGCTGCAGTAGACGGACACAGCGGCTTCATGACACTGGAAGACAGGAGGGCTGGCTCAGCAGGACCTGCACTGGCTGCACGAGACTCACCTGGGACAATTTTAAAAGATGGGAAACCACCTACGTGCCCACCAAGAGCAGGAAGCCCAAGTAAACGTGGGGATGTTGTCATGTGGAATGTGACACTGCTCAGAGCAGTCACGACACAGCCTGACGCGGAAACAGCACACAGACACACTCAGTGAGAGTGGACGGGAGGGAATGTTTCCACTAGGGCCAAGTTCACCCAGAGACACAGACAAACCTGCACCTGGATTCTTGGTGCTATTCACACTTGGAATAGGAGGCTGGGCACAGTGACTCATGCATGTAATCTCAGCATGCTGGGAGGCTGAGCTCAGGAGTTCAAGACCAGCCCGAGCAAGAGTGAGACCCCACCTCCACTAAAAATAGAAAACATAACTGGGCATGGTGGCAGACACCTGTAGTCTCAGCTACTCAGGAGGCTGAGGCAGGAGGATCACTTGAGCCCAGGAGTATGAAGTTGCTGTGAGGTAGGCTGAGGCCATGGCACTCTACCCTGGGGCAACACAGGGAGATTCCATCTCAAAAAACAAACAAAAAGAAAGAAAGAAAAATCCAGGACAAGATGATCCCTGGGGTGGGGCTGCCCTGTGTGATGAAGGGTGTTCCCAGAGTAGCCTCTCACCACCCAGCTGCGACACCCAGAACATCTCCAGATGTGGCCAAATATCCTCTTGGGCCACAATCACCCCATGGAGAACCCCAGCTCCGTGGTGACAGAGAACAGAGTGATGGATTGGGTGGGGGCAGAAAAGGTCACAAGAAGGGTTCCCTGTGGGGCTGACCACAGTCCACGGGAACACACAGACTCACAATCTGTGCACTGTACATGGAACGGCCACAGTAGGGGCTGACCACAGTCCACGGGAACACACAAGACATACAATCTGTGCGCTGTACATGGATCAGGCCACAGTGGGGGCTGACCACAGTCCATGGGAACACACAGACTCACAATCCGTGCACTGTACATGGAGCGGCCACAGTGGGGGCTGACCACAGTCCACGGGAACACACAGACTCACAATCTGTGTGCTGTACATG